CCCGGGGCATCGCGGCCCGTCGCGGCCCAGGCGAGATCCCGGCGCTCGGGTTCTCGGCTCCGTGCCCGCCGGCCAGCCTGCCTCCCCCCCACCTCGCGATCGCGCTCCCGCTCCCTCCCCCCAAGGCTGCCAGCTCTTCACTCCCTTTTGTTGCAAATAAACTTTGTAGCAGAGGAAAGGGGGCGGGGGGCGGAGCCTCTCCTGGAAAAGAGGGGGTGGGCTCCGGGCGCCCGCGGGGCTCAGGAACGTGGGGAGGAGCCAAGGGAGAAACTCCAACGCGAGTGCATGGACCGATCCCAGAGACCCCACCCCCACCCTCAGATAAGCCCCTTGGGAGCCCTGGGTGCAGAGTTGCCCCAAGGGAGTCACCAGGCCATGCACAGGGTCAGTTATGCCGCGGACACAGGGAGATGCGCCCAGCACAGTTTGTTTCTCGCGGAACATTCATTGCCCTAGAGGTACCAACATGGCAACTTTGGACCCACAAGCTCTAGTACACACCGGCACACAGGTACATATACAAACACACACACACACACACACACACACACACACCGTCCCTAGGTCGGGAAAGGGGCGGAACTCTCAGTGAGCAGAAGCGGCGGATCCTGCCAGCCAAGTCCCGCCCCGTAACCCCGCCCAGGCCACGCCCCGAATTTAATTATGCGGTGGTCACGCCCCTGCCTCCCTCCTCGCGGCCCCAATGGTCCCGCCCAGTGATTGCCACGTCCCTCCCACCTCTCTGAGGCCGGTCCAGTTCGGACCCTCCTGCAACCCGACTCTCGCTGGGGTAGAGAATCCATTATTTGTGACCACACCTCTTCCCGCCCTCACTTTCCCAGCTGACCCGCCCCAGCCACGCCCCTCCGCCTACCCCCGCGGTCTTGGCGGCGTTACTCCTCTAAGTTCCGCCCCGCGCTCTGCGCCCTCCCCACAGCGCAGGTGGAACCCGACTCTGGCGCCCTCTGCTGGCCAACCTTCCCACCCTGCGGAGCCAAGATAGGTAAAGGAGCAAGACTTCACTTGCCTGTAGTTGTTTTCTAGTCATTTCAGGGGCGGTTTCAAACTGCGCAAAGCCCTCTGCCCCTCCTTCCGCCTCACACACAAAAGGAGATTTCGATCGGAACTCCCCGAATTTCCAGTTACCAAGTCTGAACTCCTACCTGCAACCGCTCCACTTTCCTGAAGGGAAGGTGTTGGTGTCCATTGTGTGTACAGTGTACATTTCTCACTGACCTCACTCCTCTGGCCTCTGCCTCGCCTGGTGGGAGTGTTTCTGCTCCGGATCTATTTCTGCTCCAGCTGTTACTCTGACCACTCCCAGTCATCCTCCTGGACCCAGCTTAAATACATCTGTATATATGAGTGAAAGGATGGGTAGATGGATGAAAGAGTATTGAGTACTCTTGTAGCCTATGTGATATGGTTAATGTACCTTCAGGTATTTTATTTAACCCTTTAAAGCACCCCTTTGAGGTAGATAATATAGTCCTTCACTATGCTGTGAGCAAGGACCAATGGTGCTGAAGGAAGAAGTTCAAGATGGACTGAAAAAAAATTAGCCCAAAACAAGACCCCAGGAATTGATGGAATTCCCATTGAAATGCTTCAACAGGCTGATGAAGCACTCACCAAAGACATTCACTCCTCTTTGCCAGGAAATTTGGAAGACAGCTACTTGGCCAACTGTCTGGCCACGTGGCCATCTGAAAAAGAGTCGATGTATTTGAATGATGCTGCTGGAGAAGAATATTGAAAGTACCACGGACTGCTAAAAGAAAGAAATCTTTTGGCAGAAGTACGGTCAGAGTGCTCTGTAGAGGCAAGGATGGCAAGACTTCGTCTTACACAGTATGGACATCTCAGGAGAGACTAGTTCCTGGAGAAGGACATCATGTTTGGTAAGGTAGAGGGGCAACAAAGGAGAGGAAGACCCTCAAGGAGATGGATTGCCACCGTGGCTTCAACAATGGGCTCAAGCAAAGGAACAATTGTGAGGATGGTTCAGGACCTGGAGGTATTTTGTTTTGTTGGCATGGGGTTGCTATGGGTCAGAGCTGACTCAATGGCACTTAACAAAAACGATATGACATGAAAGAGAAGTGGCTGACTTACACAAAACCAAAAAACCAAACTCACTGCCATCTAGTCAATGCCAATCCATAGCGACCCTGTAGGATATTCTAGTCTATAGAATAGTCTCATCTTTCTTTCGCAAAGGGGTTGGTGGTTTATAACTGCTCACCTTGTGGTTAGCAGCCCAACTAGTAACCACTACAGCACTAGGTCCGAAGAGGTCAGTAAAAAGCACATATCGGGGGCTTTCCCATCTCAGATCCTTGGTGAAGAGAGGATTTCCTCTTCCTTTGGCCTGCCAGCAGCCTACCCCTCCTCCTTTCTGCCCCAACAGAAGTCGGCCTGGTGTGACTAATCATCCCCAGGAGCCCTGCCCCAGCTTGCTCCTTCAGGCCCAGTTAAGCCTGTCCAGGCCCCCTCCAACCCAAACTTAGCGGAAAGGCTTTGGAGTGAGGGGAAGGTAAGCAGTGCCCTAACACCACCCACCCCACTCTCAGTCCTGGCCCAGGATAGTGTAACCTGGGACGTCTCAGCTGGGAGTCCTCAAGGCAGAAGGGCCTGGACAAGATTGGACAGTCAGGGAGGTGGGGGATGAGCAGGATGGCAAACAAGTAGATTGCCCGATTGCAAATTAGAGATAAAGGTCTCTGGCAGGACCACAGACCCTCTCTGCTTGCTGCCCACATGGCCCCAGGATGGGGAGCCCACGCCCCACCCTCTGGGTGGGAAATCCCTGTAGGGAGAAAACAATTTGCCTTGAAGTTAGCCTCCAGTGACTCATCTCAACTTTTCCCCTACTGTGCCTCCAGGAAGTCGCAGGGAGATCGATGGGCAAAACCGAGGGCCCTACCCTGCCTCGTGTCCCTCTTGCTCTGTGACCTTTGGAAAATCACTGCATTTCCTTTGGCCGCAGCTGTCGTTGGCATTGTTAGGTGCTGTTGAGTGGTTCCGACTCATAGCGACCCTCTGTACAACAGGACAAAACACTGCCTGGTCGTGTGTCATCTTCTCAATCGTTCTTATGTGTGAGTTCTCCAGACAGCTGCTGTGTCAATGCATCTCGTCGAAGGTCTTCCTTTTCTCCCGCTGCTCCTCACCTATATCAAGCATGATGCCCAAAGGACGTGAGACCAAGTCTTGCCATCCTTGCCTCTAAGGAGCACTCTGACCTTACTTCTTCCAAGACAGATTGCTTTGGGTTTTTTAGCAGTCCATGGTACTTTCAATAGTCTTCTCTAACAGCACAATTCAAATGCCCTGATTCTTCTTCAGTCATCTTTATGCAATGTCCAACTTTCACACGCATACGAGGTGATGGAAAATACCATAGCTTGGGTCAGGCGCACCTCAGTCTTCAAGGTAACATCCTGGCTTTTCAATACTCTATAGAGGTCTTGTGCAGCAGATTTACCTAATGCCACGAGCCCTTTGATCTGCTGCTTCCATGAGCATTGATTGTTGATCAATGCAAGATGCATCCTTGACAACTTGAACTTTTTGCCCATTTATCATGATGTTACCTCTTGGTCCAGTTGTGAGGATTTTGGCCTTCTTCATGCTGAATTGTGACCCACGCAGGAGGCTGCAATCCTGGATCTTCATCAGCAAATGCCTCAGGTCCTCTTTAGTTTCAGCAAGTAAGGTTATTTCATCTATGTGTTGCAGGTTGTTAACAAACCTTCCTTCAATCCTGATGCCGCATTCTTCTTCATATAATCTAGCTTCTCCGATTATTTGCTCCGCGTACAGATTGGCTAAGTTTAGTGAGAGGATGCAACCCTGAGACACACCTTTCCTGATTTGAAGACATGCAGTGTACCCTGGTTCTTTTCACACAACTGCCTCCTGACTCATGTGCAAGTTCCAAATGAGCACTCTGTAGTATTCTAGGGCTCTCCTTCTTCCTAG